CAAGCACAGTTCAAGACTTCAAGTTCATTCAAGATCAGCAGCATTCAGCAAACACATTCAAGTTCACTGAAAGTTTGAAACACGACAGAGTACAACAAAGACAGACAACGCAACGGCTTAACAAGACACATTCAAGTTGATTCAACAAACACATTCAAGTTGATTCAACAAACACACTCAACAAACTTGAAAGACTTCAGCTGTTGAGCGAATTCAAGTTTCTAGTTTCAACAGTAGAAAGTTCAGCAAACACATCTCAAAATGCCAAAATGGTTTCTCTCTCTCTCTCTCTCTCTCTCTCTCTCTCTCTCTCTCTCTCTCTCTCTCTCTCTCTCTCTCTCTCTCTCTCTTACCACTTCCGCCACCACCTCGCCGGCTGCATCGTACGGGCTTGTGTCCCCGCATTTTCGGTAGTGTGCCTCCCGGTGCCCTCGATCCAAGAACAGACGTCCGCGTCGACCTCCCTGTACGCAGCCTCCTTGCACCACGAGTAAAGCCATGTCCAAAACCCGTCCACAATCTCTGCATCGGATTCCGGCCGCGACGCTCTGTACTCCGGATCCAAAAACAACGCAGCACAATGCAGTGGTGAAGTCATTGTATTCCAGCGCCGCATTATTATASCCTCTAGCTCATCCTTTTCTGCTTCCGTGAAGTGCCTGCTCTCCCTCAGTTTCTCCACAGCGCTGTCCATACGGGCGTACACCTTACTGATGGTGGGGCCCGCGCCGTCGACCTTCTTTAGAAGATGGAGGAGGTTCTCAGACGTTTACATCACCTTCTCGATATCTGCCCAGAAGGTGTCGTCGAAGATGGCATGTGTCACCCTCACAAACAGTTCGTGTTGCGAAGTGTGCACAATCGTTGGCTTCCGATCATCGTCCGTCAAACACGCTCGCAGCGGCAAGTCTATTCCCTGCAGGCTCGACAACATGATGAAGTTCGTGGCAAACCGGGTCGCACCCGGTTTTGCCACGACGCTGCCATTGGAGTAGTGGAGGAGGAGATCCCGCACCCGTGAAAGGTTCGTGAAGAACTTTGCTACCTCCGACGCCCTTTTAATAACTTCGCCCACCCACGTGATCTTCGCGAAAGACTCAAAAATTAGGTCGAGTGAGTGAGCTGTGCATGGGACCGAGAAGATGTGCGGGTGATCCGCTTCCACCATTCGCCCCGCAACTGCACAAACGGCAGCATTGTCCATAACGACCCCCACCACTGCCTCCGCACCTATCTCCTCTATTGCCCTCTTCAGAATGCCATAGTATGCCGAGGCGCCTTTGTTGCGCCCTGACATGCACACACTTCGCCAGAAGATAGAGCCCTTCGGGAAGGAGACCATCACATTGATGTGTGGTCTTTGTCGGCGATCTGTCCAACCATCAAACTGCAACATGCAGCCAGTGGTTGGCCACTCCTCCCGCAGCTCCTCCATCCTCATCCCGACCCTCCCCCTCGTCACTTCGACCCTCTTTGTCCTTGCAGTCTCGAATTTCGCGTACGGGAATCCTTTGGGCGCATTCATGAGTGCATGCACCATTTTGTCCCAGTACTCGCTCCGCATCATATTGAATGGGATGCATTCTGCCGTCATCCAGTCGTCCACTGTGCGCTGTGTTTGCTCGTCCGCCGTGATAACGACAACACTGTCCTCCATCGTTGTTTGACGGAGGCCGACCACACCTGTGGACGGCTGGGGAGTCGCATGACGGAGCCCCGCCGCAGACTCAGATCGATCGACCACTCCGCCTTCAACAGTCCGCTGCTCGTTGTCGTCCTCCTATGACCCCCCCTCCGCAGTCTCTCCCGTAACGGCTCCCAACTCCGACCTCGCAGCCAATCTCCCCTTCACCCTCCTCGAGTACTCTTCTCTCGGCACAACACCTCGCAGGCGCTCGACATCGCATCGCGAACCCTTCAAGAAATGGTCCCTTGCCCTGCTCGCTGTCCCGGCCAGAGGCTTGTCACAATAATTGCAGATCCGCTGTTTGTTACCCGTGTCGGCTCTGCCGCTGTCCCCCACTTCCATGAAGTGCTTCTTCACGGCCTCACTGCGGCTCTTCGTCATCCTGCAACGAAACGATGAAAGCAGAAGGAGCAATGCTGGTTAAGGCCAGTTCATTCAACAACCCTCAATGCTCTCCCTCCCTCAATGCTTTCCCTCGTCCACTCTCTATCTCCCCCTATCTCCCCGACAATTAAGCAAACCATCACCCCCTATCTCCTCGACAACAGCGGACTGCAAACGATCAACAACAACAAAAATCAATCAATCAATCAATCAACCAATCAATCAATCAACCAAACTCCCCGAACCTCCCTTCCCCCCCTTCTCTCCCTCTTCCCCCCTATCTCCCCGAGCTTCCCACCCTCCCTTGTCTCGCCGAACCTCAGTCCTAACACGGCGGGTTTTCCCCCCTCCCTCCCCGAACCTCCTCCCAGACCTCCCCCTCCCATATCTCGCCGAATCAAGATCGAAAGATACGAGCACGACAACAGTTCACCACAAAAGACTGACAACAACAACAACAATCAATCAATCAATCAATCTCCCCGAACCTCCCTTCCCCCCCTTCTCTCCCTCTTCCCCCCTGTCTCCCCGAGCTTCCCACCCTCCCTTGTCTCGCCGAACCTCAGTCCTAACACAGCGGGTCTTCCCCCTCCCTCCCCGAACCTCCTCTCGGACCTCCCCCTCCCTTGTCTCGCCGAATCAAGTTCGAAAGATACGAACAGGACAACAGTTCACCACAAAAGACTGACAACAACAACAACAATCAATCAATCAATCAATCAATCAATCAATCTCCCCGAACCTCCCTTCCCCCCCTTATCTCCCTCTTCCCCCCTATCTCCCTGAGCTTCCCACCCTCCCTTGTCTCGCCGAACCTCAGTCCTAGCACGGCGGGTCTTCCCCCTCCCTCCCCGAACCTCCTCCCAGACCTCCCCCTCCTTGAAAGTTCCAAAGATACGAGCACGACAACAGTTCACCACAAAAGACTGACAACAACAACAACAATCAATCAATCAATATCCCCAAACCTCCCTTCCCCCCCTTATCTCCCTCTTCCCCCCTATTTCCCCGAGCTTCCCACCCTCCCTTGTCTCGCCGAACCTCAGTCTTAACACGGTGGGTATTCCCCCTCCCTCCCCGAACCTCCTCCCAGACGTCCCCCTCCCGGAAAGTTCGAAAGATACGAGCACGACAACAGTTCACCACAAAAGGTAAGTGGCGAATCGAACCAGCTCCGATACCAAAATGCAAGGAACATGAATGTGGATGAAGCACAGAAATCCAGATTGCAAGGTAAGTGGCG